GGATACCAGTGGAGTGTTATCGATAGCTATGGAGTGTTGTAGATACCTATGGAGTGTTATAGAGAGCTATGGAGTGTTATGGATACCAGTGGAGTGTTGTCGAAAGCTATGGAGTGCTATGGATACCAGTGGAGTGTTATAGATAGCGATGGAGTGTTATGGATACCAGTGGAGTGTTATCGATAGCTATGGAGTGTTATGGATACCAGTGGAGTGTTATCGATAGCTATGGAGTGTTATGGATACCAGTGGAGTGTTATAGATAGCTATGGAGTGTTGTAGATACCTATGGAGTGTTATAAAGAGCTATGGAGTGTTATGGATACCAGTGGAGTGTTATAGATTGCTATGGAGTCTTATGGATACCAGTGGAGTGTTATCGATAGCTATGGAGTGTTGTAGATACCTATGAAGTGTTATAGATAGCTTTGGAGTGTTATGGATACCAGTGGAGTGTTATAGATAGCTATGGAGTGTTATGGATGCAAGTGGAGTGTTATAGATAGCTATGGAGTGTTATGGAGTGTTATGGATACCTGTGGGTGTTGTAGATAGCTATCGAGTGTTGTAGATACCTATGGAGTGTTATAGATAGCTATGGAGTGTTATGGATACCAGTGGAGTGTTATCGATAGCTATGGAGTGCTATGGATACCAGTGGAGTGTTATAGATAGCTGTGGAGTGTTATGGATACCAGTGGAGTGTTATAGATAGCTATGGAATGTTATGGATACGAGTGGAGTGTTATCGATAGCTATGGAGTGTTATGGATATCAGTGGAGTGTTATCGATAGCCATGGAGTGTTATGGATACCAGTGGAGTGTTATAGATAGATATGGAGTGTTGTAGATACCAGTGGAGTGTTATCGATAGCTATGGAGTGTTATGGATACCACTTTTTCGGCCCGCGATCTCTCCCAACTTCCGGTCAGCGGTTTCCGTATTTTTCCCTCAAAAACGCGGGCTCATATTTTTCTAGACCATTTTTTCTTGCTCTTTTTTACCTCATTTTTCTAGACCATTTTATGTGGTCTTTTTTTTACCATCATTTTTCTAGACCACTTTTTAGATCATTTATTTTATTCCTATTAAATTCTCTATTTAACATCTGACTTTTCCTCAAGCATTCTTAGGTGACCGTAACTTTCAGAATTTGGTCTAAAGTCTAAGTCATCCTTTTTATTTTGTGTGCTTACTCCAATGTTAATATTATTTGATACAGAGAAATTTATATCACCAGACTTCCAAGTTCTACTAGAACTCTTACGACAACCACAAATCTTACCTAAGCAGGAGAAGCATGACCTCCACCTTGACATCTTATCTTATGATAAACCACATGTTAACTACCTGACCCCGAATATCGGAGTGACCAGCAAAAGGACATATCCATGCTAGTACCAGTGGGCATTGAGTGTTCAGGTTTAACTATGATACACCAGGCTAGCGTGTTATCTACCAACGCAGTCTGGGCTCCTAAATAGAACATACTATTGCTCTTGAAAACGTAGCAAGCCGTACTTCCACCAGTAGTTGTGTAAGTTCCATTAAACCAGGTGTGTGACAGTCTTCTTAAGTCAACCGTGGCAAGAACAATCTCCTTCTTAACCTTAGCAAATTTTCCATTAGATTGCTTTTCCCAAATGGTAGCCCATAGAACGAGTCCTATAGGTATATTTTGAACAGTTGAAAAACGTGGGAAATCTGATTTAATAGTAATTGACTCAAGGTTCAGGTCTGCCATATTGTTAATAGGATCTGTTCTCCATGAAGGTGGAATCTGATCGTGACAGTAAGCGTAGTACCTTGTTGCTGCAACTGAAACACCACGATAACCCCAAATCCATTCTGCATGTATATGTCGCCGTATTCTTACATATCTTAAGTCAGCCGTTGCTTGAGTAAGACCAGTTGAAGGTTTTAGGAAATTCTTTTCTACCCACTGTTTGTTAACAGCATCCTTATCATTTACAGGATCCTTTAGATCAAGAATTCCACTTGAATCTCCCATATCCAAATCACCTTTTACCAGTCCACCTCTACTACTCATGAACTCATCTGTTGCCCACCTCTTATTAACAGCTGAACCGTCAGTCGTTGGGTTTCCAACTCTTGTCAACTCGTAATCGTTAACATCTAAGTTACTAGCTAAAGTGCCACCATCACGCTTAAGAAACTGTGAGCACCATGAAGTCATGGAACCGTAAGAAACAGCACTAGAACTTCCCGTTGACCCACTATTTAGTCCTGTAATAGTATTACCAGCCATGTCAATATTACCGCTCATAGTGAAGCCACTACTACTTGCAGAACTCCCACTAACATGATCCGTGACCCATTTCTTGGATACGGCAGAATTATCAGTTGTAGGAGCACCAATATTTATTATTTCATTTCCACCCATTCTAAGACCACCTGTCATTGCTCGCGAACCGCTAAGTTTTAATAAGTTTGTTGTGTACGTTTTAAGATACTGCAACCTTACAAGACTATTTGAGTTTCCAGGGTCGGAGTTACAGTTAGGTGCATTGCTAAAATTAATAGTGCCACCAACATTTAAAGATCCTGTTCCGTCTAACCGTAGAAATGTTCCTTCATTTAAATTAAACCAGCTTTTTGTAACCACAGATTGATCACTAGTAGGATCCCCAACATTTTCAATTTTGTTTCCTCCCATATCAATATTACCGCCCATAGTAAAGCCACTACTACTTACAGAACTCCCACTGACATGATCCGTGACCCATTTTTTAGACACAGCAGAATTATCAGTTGTAGGAGCACCTAACTTTACAATCTCATTGTTTCCCATATCAAGGTCGTCAGAAAGTGTAAGTCCACTGTAAGTCTCACGCTTACTTCTACCACCGCTAATCTTATCTTCCACCCACTTTTTAGCCACAAGGGAGGAGTCTCTGTCAGGGACAGCGTTAGAATAGATTTGAAAGTTATTTGTATTCATATTTCCAGTCATGGAGCCGCCATTCCTTTTGAGGTAATATCCGTCACTTCCAGTTCTAAAAGAATTTAAATTTGATGTTAGAGTATCAAGGTTAACAGGATCCCCTCCACCCCTAGGAGCCGAAACATTTTTTATCCTATTTCCGTCCATATTAATTGCTCCTGACATTTTAAAACCGGAGGGACCAAGAAGTGTAGATATTTTATCTTCAACCCACTTTTTTGATGTAGCCTCACTATCAATTTTAGGCTCAATAAGATCAAACAATCTCCAACTTCCCATGGACACATCTGCTTGCATAATTCCACCTTTTAGTTAAAGTTATTATCAACAGCCCACTTTTTTGTGACAGCAGACTGGTCCTCAGAGGGATCCTTAAGATTCTTAATCTCATGGTCCTTCATATCGATATCACTAGCAATATTAAGTCCAGATACAGGCCTATTTAGCATTCCAACTACCCAATCCTTACTAACAGCAGACTTTCCAGTTGTAGGATCACCTAGAGCCTTTATCTCATTTGTTGACATATTGAGGTCATTTGTTGACATATTGAGGTCATTTGTAAGGATAAGTCCAGGTAGACTAGCACGACTACCCTCAACCCAGCTCTTACTGGCAGCGTCACCTGGGTTAGTAGGATTATCAAGATTAATTATATTATTACCTCCCATGTTAATATCCCCAGTCATTGTAAACCCTGCAGGTTGAATTGTAAGGGCAGCCTGTTTAACGATCTCATCATCCACCCACTTTTTTGTGGTCGCAGAAGTATCATCTGTAGGTGCACCTAGACCTTTCACCTCATTACCATCCATCTCAATGTCACCGTTCATGGTAAATCCGTCCTTATCAAACACACTACCGCTTGATGGATCAACTTTATTTACTCCTTTGTTGTATCCCCTATAGAGAGCCATTTTATAACATACACAATGTTTACAAGATAATTTTCATTAGAATGAATACAACTATAGCACCAATCCCAGCTCCAGCGATAGCGTTAACTCCTGAAGACTCATCATGTTTCATGATAGGAACAACTTGAGTCTCGGCACTTGTAGAACCTTCCTGAGGCTTAACTCTTGTAGGACCTCCTGGAACCTTTTTATTTCCATCAATAGTATCAAGATGGTGAACTGGTGTATTGTCTTGATGCTGTTTCTTTGGGGGATTAGCCTTTTTAACCCCAACATAATTGAGTTCGGTATTAACTCCTCTTTTCATATCCTTTGTTGCGTTTTTTAGAATATTGTTATACCCAGGTATAGGCTTACTTAGAATTATGAGACTTGACGGAATCAGAACAGTTCCAGGGGTGACGGCTGTGTTAAGTACAACATTTGTGTCTCTAATAGCAATTCTCATATTACCTAGAGTTACAACAGGATCAGCTTGAATAACGCAATAATTTACCAGTGCGCTGAACTTAACCTGGGTAGCAGATGACTTTCCGTAGCTTCCAGTGATAGGTGATCTGGTAGCTGCCTGTGCACCTAGCACAGAGTAAACGTAAGCTTCAATTGATTCCCCTAATAGAAGTAAGCCAGTTTTTGTAAGTCCAAAATACGGATCAGTCTGAGTACTAACAAACCTTAAATAATCAGACTTACTAACAAGTGCAACAGATACTCTTTCCTCATAGTGTACACGAATTCCCTTTAGAAACCCGTTAACAGTCATAACTGAAGAATTGGTTACATTTCTTACAGGATTGCTACCGTCACCCCTACCCTTTATCCAGTTACTTTTTTCCCAGTCGAGTCCATAATCATATACAACATCATAATAATCACTTTTCTTTACCCACTTACCCTTAAAAGGTATATGCTTTTTAATAGAATCCAGCATATCCATATAGGGAATTAATCTTTCAGGTTTGTACACATACTTCCTGATGCAGTAGTAAAGGTGAAAGTTCATTATACTTGTTATCACAGGGTAAGTATCATTACTAGGAGTAAGATGACCACTTGTGATTCCACATAGATATGTTGCGATATATGCGCCCAAACAATGTACTTCCAGATGTGCTAGATGCATTCAACGAATCATTTGACGCTGACTGGGACGAAATAGAAGCCCGCCTAGAGAAACTGAAAAAGTTCTCAGAAGACCGGCTTACAGCAAATAAAAAGAGAGACTTTGAAAACCAAGTAGAGCGTGTTCAAGCTGTCACGAGAGTTATCAAGGGTAAGGAGGGACTAATACTAGACCCTAAGAATAAATATGTCAGGGAACTCATCAAACGATCATCTGTAAGAACACTCAAGGATGGCACAGAGGTGTTGATATTTAGAAGTGAACAAGGTATTGACAAAAGTGGCACACAAATAATGAAACGTGGTAAGACCAAGAATCTAGTGTACTCAAAGGACTCACCTGCTCTGAGAGAATACAAGGACCTTCTAAAGAAAATAAAAGAGGTACCTACGGATGAATCATTTTATGAGGATACTAAAGAAGAGCCGCAATTTGATGACAGTGATGAGGAATACGCTGACCGTGAGAACATTGAGTTAATAGACATAAGTGCAAAAATAGGAGACCTTCCAGGGCTAACAATGCAAGAAAACAATGAACTGAGAGGTGTTCTTAACCCACCTGATGGATCAAGTATAGAAGGTAGAACAGGTCCCAATGGAGCGTTACAAATCCAGGCTGACTACTTTGATGAAGCCATTGGTGAAACCATGGAACGCGCCACCTCTGCGGAAGGTACAACTGAGTATAATTCCCTTATGGAAAGAATTGATAGTCTAAAGGAAGCAAGAGAACGAACCCTAGAACAGAGAACAATAGAGGAAGCAAGAGAGGCACAGTTGGAAGATATTTCTAGACTACTTAGATTTATAGACTGGGTAGGAAAGGAAAAAGTGGGACTTGTAGGGATAGCAGTGTCAACAGCTAGTTTAATTACAGCCTTATTAATCCATGCTAGGGGAGCCATTGTGAAGACAGCAAAGGCAACTGGTAAAGTAGCAAAAGCACTAGCAAATTTAGCAAAGAAAGCAGGACCAATTCTAGTTCCAATCCTGAACGCAGTTGCAACAGCGCTATCATGGGGAGCCAAAGGAATTGCCTGGTTAGCGTCAAACTTATGGGTTCTAGCTGTAGCGGCTGCATTACTTGCGTACGACTACTTACAACGCTAAACATCACATATTGTATAAAAGTATGAATACCACAGAAAGAGAACTCCAGCCTGGCTTCAGGAGGAGCCGTATGACATCCGTAAAAGGTCCCAGAACTAGAAGTGTTGTAACATTTAATCCAACAACTATCAGCCCAGGTGAAGAGTTGTACATTAACATTCCTAAACTAAAACCCGACTCTTGTTTAGTTCCAGGTTCACTTGCACTATTATTTGACTTCAAAAATTCTAATACAAAAAGCCACTTTAATAACAACCTGTCTAAGTTGATAGCTAAACGTCTTCAGATTAAAGTAGCAGGTGAAACAGCTTATGACTGTTCAGGAGAGAGTTTGTACGAAATATACAAAGACCTATGGCTAACACATGGTGATAGAAATAAGATGACAGAACAGGGCCTCGGAAGTGAAAACCTGAGAAAGCTGATATCAGGTGACGACTCAGGAGTAAAAGTAGGTGAGGCAGGTAAAATAGCAGATGGACTTCTCCATAGTGTGTATTGATCTAAGCTGAGAAAACCAATTGATAAAATAATTGCAGACCATGGACTCTACACACCGTTCTCTATGAATAACAATCCTATGTACATCCTCACACTACCCGGATCAGATGAGATTATGACGGCTCAAGGAGGTGAAGCTAAGGGTAATTATAAACTTGACAATCTTGAGTTAGAGTACGAGACCATTGAGAATGACGCCCTTGCAAGTGAAGTATCAAGGATGTATTCAACGGGTCGCTCACTGTCCTACAAACACGTTAGACTAATGCGCACAAGTAATTGGGACAAGGATCTTACCATTGTAAATGAAAACATAAATATCCCCAGAAAGAGCATGTCAGCAATTGTCCTCCTGTTCACGAATAGGGTGAGAACCAATTCTGAAGAATATATTTACCCAAACATTGATAAAGTGAACCTAACCATTGAGGGTGTGCCTAATGCTGTCTTTTCTCAAGGACTTCATAAAAATAGGTTCTTTGAAGAGGCAAAAAGATTCTTCTGCCCTATGTGTGAGAAATCCATGGCAGATGAATTGATGTCCATCAGCAGGTTCTTCAGCACCGGTTTCGTCTTAGTAGTAGATCTAAGGTCAACACAGGATGACACCACTGGAGGAGGAAGGAAGATCGTTAACACGCAGTCTGGAGTACTTATGGAAATCAAGAAGCAAGCCACAACAGCTGACGTTCAGTGCAA